AGAAGGAAAAAAATTCTGGGGATGGATTTGGTGGTGGGGATTTGGAACAGCTCCTGAGGATGGATTTGGTGGTTGGGAAGGAAAAAACTCCTGAGGATGGATTTGATGGTGGAGATTGGGAAGGAAAAAGCTCCTGAGGATGGATTTGGTGGTTGGGATGAGAAGAGCTCCTGGGATGGATTTGATGGTGGGGATTCAGAAGGAAAGCGCTCCTGAGGATGGATTTGATGGTGGCAAGTTTTGCTGGATGAAAACAGAACCCTCCAGCCACCGAAACCTTAACTTTACCAAGCCCCAACTTTTCCTTTACCCAGGCCCAGCGCTCCATAATGAAGATGTTTGTGACCTTCCCCCCCTCCCTGAACAAGCTGTGCCCCCCAGCCCTGTCCACCTGACAACCAGAGCACACAGAACATGTGTGACCCATTCCCTGACCCCTGCACAATGCTGCTCTTTGTGAGCCTCTAATATCCTTATCAGGTCTGTCTAGACACCCTGACAGCAATTGTCCTTCCTCATGTCAAAATGCACTCTGACCCCTCTCCTCCTCCTCCTCCTCCTCAGCCTGAAGCACTTTGGGGGGATGAAGGAGCCCAGCAGCTTCACAGCCCACAGGTCACACCTGTGTCCACACCTAAGTCACAGCAGGGAGGGCAGAAAACAAGATTACAAAACCTCATTTCGGTGATTTCTTCTTGCAAGTCCCTCCCCAGCAAAAGTTGCACCCGAGTAAAAAAAAATAAAAATCTTGAGCTGAAAATTAAAATGATGAAAACTCAAACCAGCAAACCCAAATTAACACAGAGTGGTTTTGCTGTGTGTCTTAAAATAAAGCAGGAATGAGTTTTTCTTCCTGCTGGTTTTATAGGAAAGCTCTCCCCCGTGAGTAAAAACCCAAACATTTCATTGGGTTTTTTTTTTTTTTTTTGGGGGTGAAATTTCGAAACTTTTCATTTCAGCAGCATTATCAGATTGCTGCTGCCACTATTTGAGGTAGCCATGTGTAAAAATCAGTCAGCTTGCAAAACCAGACAGAAATTCAGTGCACTTCCAGGGCAAATTCACACCGTGCCCATGTGGGAGAACCCAAATAAAACCAGGGGCAGCGAAAGCAAAACAGCACAAAAAAAAAAAAAGGAGAGAATTTTATCCTCGGGATGCAGCACAATAAAAAAGACGTAATAAACCAGAACTAGCCGAGCCCCAGAGCTAGGAAGGATTTAGAAAGATTGTTTAATTGATTTTTGTGCTATTAAAATGCAGATCACAGCGTCTGGGATTCGGGGACTCAGACACGCCTTTGTGTCCCCCGCGCTCCATGGAGTCCCCGTCTGAAAGTTGCACAATGCCCACCTCAGCCCGGCTCAAAGACATGCTGTTCCTTTTTGTCTGGGCCTCTGGGGGCTGAGACGGGGCAAGGAGAGGCAAATCCTCCCCGCTGCCTCCCAGCTGATGTTTTCACTCACAATAATCCCCACACGGAGCCGCCGGTTTGTACTCAAAACATCCTCCGGGTCTGGGTCTGGGGACTCAAAACATCCCAAATTCTGAGCTTAGCCACTCAAAACATCCCCAGTGCTGGGTATGGACACCCAAAACATCCCAAATCCACTCAAAACATCCCCCAGGTCTGGGTCTGGGGACTCAAAACATCCCCAGCTCTGGGTTTGGACACCCAAAACATCCCAAATCCACCCAAAACATCCTCCAGGTCTGGGTTTGGACACCCAAAACATCCCAAATCCACCCAAAACATCCCAAATCCACTCAAAACATCCCAAATCCACTCAAAACATCCTCCAGGTCTGGGTTTGGGGACTCAAAACATCCCAAATCCACTCAAAACATCCCAAATTCTGAGCTTACCCACTCAAAACATCCCCAGTGCTGGGTATGGACACCCAAAACATCCCAAA